GTCATTATTGTTTTGCAGCCACACGTAAACCGTTATTAGCCCCTTTTACTCCCGAAGGTGTTCTCCGGGGCAGTTTTTCAATGATTTGTCATTTCAAGGAGCAGCATGCTTATCATTCTCGCGGTTTCACTCTCCTGGTCCTTTAAGGAGGATTACCAATTCCACCATCTAGAGGCCTCTAGCAGTTAGAGCCTTCCCTGTCATTTTTCATCAGAATCAGAAGTGTTTATCATCCCCAAAACTCTCCAGTCCTTAGAAGGGTGACTTAACTCGATCCTGAATGTATTAGTCGTTGAAGAGAGAGCCATCATTCTGAAATCTTCTTCAAGTTCAGCCTTATACCATCCTTTTAAAATACGTGCAGTTGACGCAGTCATTTTGTTTAAAGAGATAGGTAAAGAAATTGTAGACTGTGTTATGTTGGGGGCAATTTTATGGTAAATCTCTACAACACAAAAGCGAAAGGAAGATGAATAATGTTGCTGAGGAGCCGGGCCTGAGTTGTTGCCATGGTCAGTGTTTTCACATTGGGAGATAACTAACGTTCCTCAAAAGCAGACTCAAGCCACCAAAAGATGTTTTCTTAGTGTAATTCTCATTAGGGAGGTGTGCGCGTGCATGCATGTGTGTGTGTGTGTGTGTGTGTGTGTGTGTGTGTTTAAGAGGCATTTCTCTCCCCTTGAGTTGGATTTGTATTTCTGTGTGTGCATGATTTGATACGTGTGTATAAAATATAAACGCACTTACTATAGTCAGAACTGGCTCTGTCCTCTTGTTCCCGATGAAGAGGAAGCATGTGTCCTTGTAAGTGTTTGGGTTCTGGAATCAGAGGACGTGCAAAACAAGGAGGTGATGGTGGCAGGATAGAGAATATGCTCTGAGTTAAAAATGAGCAATACCTTTGAGAAACCATCCTAGAGGCAGCCTGGGATGCTGACCTGTAAACGCATCACTTTCGAAGACCGCCCTTCATGTCTTGGGTGGAGGTAACTTTGATTTCTGTCAAAACCTATTACACGTTGAGTTAGTTCCTGTCCCGTCTCACAGAAGGAATTCTTTCATTTCTGATCATAAATGGAACTAATACATATTTGAAGATTTATTTTAAATATCTATAATATTAGAATCATACCGATACTATTGAACAATATCATCGGCAAAAGTTTGTGCCCGGGAATCCAACTATTAAAATCATAGAAAATGCTATTCGATTTATAACATGGATTTTACTACTCTCAGAGAGAATGACTCAAAATCTAATTATGAAGTGTCACTGAATTTTCAGTGGAATTTATCCAGACAAATACTCTCACCCTCTTCATTTTGTGAATTTCGATTTTTCTTAAATGGGAATGTGTCACTTTTTGAAAATAATTCGGCTGGGCTTATTTGAAACCACTTCCTTTTAATAGGCTAATGATAAACACTGAAACATCAATTTACTTTATGCAAAATAGTTAGCCCAGGGCAATACTTCTTAAACTCCCCAGTGCACAGGAATGCTCTGAAGGCTTATTAAAAATGCTGATATATGGGTTCCATCCTCGGACATTCTGATTCCACAGAGCGGGGGTAGGCCCAGGAAGGTATATCTCATTAAGAACACCCAGGTGAATCTGATACAGGGGGGTCTAACGGTCTAAATTAGACAAACAGGACTAGCACAGATTCTGTCAGCTTGTTTATTATCAAGATAATCTTCAGATTTTAATTTAGAAGCTCTGTATTATCAAAACCGTCTTCAGAGTACAATAAAGGTTGATTTTTTCTTTTAATAAATTTTATTTATCAATTTTAGAGAGAGAAAGGAAGAAAGAGAAAGTGAAAGAGAGAGAGAGAGAAAGAGAGAGAGACTTGTTGTTCCACTTATTTATGCATTCATTGGTTGCTTCTTATATGGGTCCTGACTGGAGATTGAACCAGCATCTTTGGCATATGGGAGGATCCTCTAACCAACTGAGCTACTTGGCCAGGGCAAGGTTGATTTCTAATAAGGTTGAGAGTTAATATTACTGGTACCGTGGCCCAATGTGAATCTAATATGTAACACTGTAAAGTCTTGAGGCAAGATGCCAGTCCTTACTGGTGAGTGTGAATGGAGGCTCGAGTCGATACTGACTCCATCAAGTGGGGCATAGGCCCAGGACTGACCCAGGACCCTCACCCGGGCTCTTCCCCCCAGCACCCCCTCCTTTATCTTCACTTTCAGCCTGTTCTCCCTCCTCTTCCTATGACTCAGATTCTCTGCCAATTTCCTCTGTCTTTACAGTTGCTTAGCTCATAATCTTCTCGTGGCCTACTTTTTTTTTCCCCTCCTAGATATCTTATCCAAGGATAAAAGAGAGGAAGGTGCATCCGTGGTTTTCATAGAAGTTGTGGATTGAAAGCACTGGATTTGGGCTGGGAAAGAAGCGTTCAGTACACAGAGAGAGAAATTCGGACACTAACTCTGCCCAGCCCAGACCCTGCGTCCTCACAGTCTGCTTGAGAAATGTCTTGCTTCTTACATTTTCCCCGAAACCAAACAAAACCCAGAGAGGCTAAGAATCAGGACCGCACGGCCTGTCAGAACGTGCTTTATTTCCACTCCGAGTCCTTTAGCCATTTCATGGCCTTAACCCACGACTCTCCTCCCTCGAGAATTCATCACGCTGCCCAGCACACCAGGCTCTGCTGCCTCTGTGCCCCGCTAGCCAAGCGTGCCAGTTTCAGTCCAGAGGACACCGAGATGTCGCTAGGAAGTCCTTGCCCCCGCCCACCTGGGAGGCTTGGACTCTGAGAGTAGGGCTGTGTCTAGTGCCATTTTTAAAATGTTTCCTTTGATTTCAGAGAGGAAGGAAAAGGGAGAGAGAGTTAGAAACATCAATGATGAGAGAGAATCATTGATCTTCTGCCTCCTGCACGCCCCCCACTGGGGACCGAACCCGCAACCCAGCCTGGGAATCGAACCGTGACCTCCTGGTTCCTAGGTCGATGCTCCACCGCTGAACCACACTGGCCGGGCTCCAGTGCCATGTTGAAAACAGCCCCATACCCCACGAAGATGATGGCTTAGATGCCCAGACACAAACTGCTGTGACCGTGAGCTCGCTGACTTGTGGCATCTGGATTCACAAATGGTCCAGTTTCTGTCTCTTCTGAGAATCACTTCTGAGCCCAGCACAGGCTTGCCGCGGAAGGAAAGAAGAAGTAGAGGTTGCAATCCCGTGTTGGATTTTCATTTTCTAAAGTCTTAAGGAAGTTGT